ACGCTCTATCCACTGAGCCAAACCGGCTAGGGCCAGTTTTTATTTTTAAAATGTGGCAATAAGAAAGGCAAAACACACACACACACACACACACACACACACACACACACACACACACAAAATACCTCAGAACTTCTTTCATGAAAAAAATGTAAAAATCTTTTAACATAATATCATCAGTATTAGAGATGGAAAGAATCAGTTTGAAGGGCATTTAAATCTGCATCTCTACATGAACAACCCCACAAATTAGAAAGTTCAATAAAGCAACTCTTTTGCAAGCAAAATGGCAAATAACTGATCTGAATACTTTTGGGCCAAACTGCTAGATGCTTTTAAGAAGTCCATGTGTGGTCCTAGCCGGTTTGGCTCAGTGGATAGAGCGTTGGCCTGCGGACTGAAGGGTTCTGGGTTCGATTCCAGTCAAGGGCATGTACCTTGGTTGCGGGCACATCCCCAGTAGGGGGCATACAGGAGGCAACTGACGAATGATTCTCTCTCATCATTGATGTTTCTATCTCTCTCTCCCTCTTCCTTCCTCTCTGAAATCAACAAAAATATGTTAAGAAAAAAAGAAGTCAATGTGTGCCTGAGACCTTAGTTATGCTCTTTTTGGTACAGAATATTGGGGTGTCCTTTGCACATTAGCTCTGATGATACACTTTTAGATAACAGCCTCTGTTACTCCTTTATTATTATTTTTCTCTGTTACTCCTTTAATTTCCCCTGCTTTTGCAGTGACCAGAAAGTCAATGTCAGTTTCTAGATCTAGAAATGGTCAAGTAAAAATCTCAGATGACACAGAACACAGTATGTGCTAGGGTCAAAATGAACACTAAAACTCAACAATATGACTTTGCCTCATTCATCCTGACCTCCCAGACTTTAGCTCACCCAGGACCCAGCCCACAGAGGCCCCTCACAAATGTTTGTTGAATGAAAGGCAACATAAAATATTGCATTTAACAAGCTCTGCTCAAATCCCACTACTTCAGAGGGCTTTTCCCGAGGAATCCCACTCTCAGAAACCACTTTGTACTCATGGATTTCTAAATAAGCTTTTAATCTTGCCATCTTGCAATTATTATTATTCATGTGTTGTTTTTAATTATTCTCTTATTAATGTGTGTGTGTGTGTGCAGGCGGGTGCACGTATGCTTCATTTTCTAAATTGACAGTAGGTCCCTGAAGTCAGATATGTGTTGTTTTTAATTATTCTCTTATTAATGTGTGTGCGTGTGTGCAGGCGGGTGCACGTGTGCTTCATTTCCTCAATTGACAGTAGGTCCCTGAAGTCAGAGCCTTTATTTTCCTCCGAAGTGCCTGCTACAGGTCTGGGGACAGTGGCTGTGTAAAAATACTTGTTGATGAAATATCTCTCCTCTGCCTGGACTGCACTGTCAGATATTTTCATTGCTGCCAATGATTCGAGTATGCATACTTTTCTACGTCACAGAAAAATGAAAAATTATAAATATCTGAGTGCTAGGATTTCATAATAGAATACATTTCTAATAGAATTAACTCTTTTCTGGAAGTCTAGTAGAGAAAGCCTTTATTGTTTGCCAGCAAACTGGCACAGACACCTAAAGACTAATATAAGGTAGGTAATATATCACATCCAAGCTGGATTTCTTGCATAGAAGACACAGACTGCACTTTAATTCTGCAGAACATGGGCAAACCAGGCTCCCCATTTCACTTGCAAACACACATATTTTGGAAAAGACCCAGAGTTCCAATCATGCAAACTAAATGGATTCCTTATGATTTTCTTCAAAGCAGGCAGTTCCTGATGAGCATTCATTTCGATAAGATCCTTTTGGGAAGTAGAACGTTTTCCAGGTCAGAGAAGAATCGGTTCTGTTTGAAGGAACAATATTAAAAAGGGCTAGGTGCTCCCTGTTCTTTTGTAGGAAAATACAGACATCAAGAAGCGATCTCTGCTTTTATTGTGACAACCATAAATACAATCTTCGTGTAATTACATAACTAAAATATGTGCTTTTCATTGGCTTAGCATAACATTCACCCATTCATTCAACAAATATTTAGTGAGCACTTACTATAATATGTTAGACACTGGTCTAGGTGCTGAGGATACATGAGAAGAGAAAACAAAATTCTCGTTCCCAACGACGACATTTTGACTTAATAAAATAACACTAGCTCACGGCATTCTATTTTTAACTAAAAGAAATTGCTAAAGTGTTCATTTTTTTCTGGATTACTGCTGAATATTTAAAATGAAGAATAACATAATTGTAAATGGAGGCCATAAATGTTATTCACATAAACATTTAAAGTATTTTCTTAATGCAGTATTTTAAGCCCACCAAATAATAATCACATCAAAGAACTCCTTCCTATTCTTACACAAGGGGCATATTGAGCCTCTTAGGAATTGCACATTTTCCTAATTTTTAGGCTTTTATGATGGATTACTTGGGGTCATCTATAACAAACAGCCTGATCACATACCAGGTTAATTAACATAGAATCTTTTCTAGGATTAATAACAAAGGATTTACTTACAAAACTTCTTTGACTTATCAAAAATGAGTTTCAACCCATTCAAGACTTACTAGTTTTATTTTTCTCTATGAAGCTACTAGAATGAACCAAGTCTTCCCGTGCCAAGTCTTAACTCTAGCTCAACACAGATAGCTGTGTTTTGAAAAGAAGACGGTTTGAGTGATGAATTCTTTTGGCCTACATGTTGACCTATTGTTCTGTTTCCCAAAGCTGTTCATGTTGTGGTTATTGTAATAAAGCTCAGCTATTGAAAACCTGAAGCTACGCATCATCGCATGTACTTATTCTATGACATGTTTATTATTTTTCTTTCTGTTGGTTTTATGGTGAGTTCCCACCGTGGCACATGAGTAACTATATATATTTGTTTTTGAGGTGTGAGTTGGCTCAGAGATAGACAACAGTGTTGGCCTCACCTGGGCTGTAAGCTTATTAGAATTCTAAGAACCGTAAAGGACCGAAGGAGGCCCTAGTGCCTTTGAGCAAAATAGACTGATTTTCCTAGACAAACACTTTAATTCAAAGCTCACTTATTAATAGGACTATTAATTCATTTATCTCCATCCGCTGGTACAAATAAGAACAGATGCATTATCTTGTGGGAATGCTAATGTTTTAAACCTCGTCTCTTCATCACTTCCTTGTAATTCACCCTTTAGAGACATCATTAATTCTGGTGTAGGAAAGTCCAACTTGTTGATTGCTAAGAGGAGAGAAAAGCCAATTCCATTGTTCATTGATAGTACTTAATATAAGGGCAGTGATCCCATAAAAAAAATACCTCGTTTTTAACACTTGCTTAAAAATACATTTTAGAAAACAGCCTCTGGTCAAAGCATCAGATAATAGAAAATCAACTTGGTTAGTATTTTTGAGGTCTGCTACTTTGTCACATTTTTTTTTTCATTAGAGACTTTGGTTTCTCACTGGTTCTTGATTAAAATTCCTTGGATTGCCTCAAAGTGAAATCTCTTAGACAAATTTAGTTGCCTTTAAAAAAAAAACATGCCAGCAATAGAAAGCCCAGTAGGAAAACAAGCATTATTCTAGAAAGCAGCAACCCTGGAAAGACAGTTTTGTTAGTGGAAACACATTAGTCTTTCACAAACTAAGCAACAGTGATATTTACAGAGCAGTTTATAAAAGGTCAGAGGTAGGGCTTCTGCCAAGGAGTGACGCATCTCCTTGCAAAAGGGAAAACAGCATTTCCCACGGGGTCCAGGACATGTTCTCAGGATTCCAAGACTTTTAGGTTTTATTTCGATAACAGAAGGGAGATGAGCAGTTATCAAGACAGAACTTTTCTTTGCAGTCATAATTCTCCACTAAAGACTGTTATAGAATAAGATCTTAACTTTTCAGTCAATATTTCCTAAAGTGGACACCCCTGATGTATTGTGGGGTGGGTGACAATAATTCTACCTTTTAAGAAGGGGTCCAGCCACTATTCAAGTTTGAGAACCGGTGCTCTGCAGAGTGACCTGCTCCTCGCTGCAGAAGGGGCCGGCAAAGGTAGAGGGCGCCACCGTGAGGCTCCCATTTCAACGCTTGTCATGTCGATTGCGGTGGGGTGGAGATCACAGGGAAGCAGTGCTATCTGTGGAGGAGACATCAGACAGTGCAGTGAAAAGGGTAATCCATTTATTTTTAGAGAAGTTTTCCACTCAGAGATCATACACACTGCAGATCACAGAAACACATGCAAGCATGAAATTTAATTTTTAGGAACTCTTTCCTGGGGCTTCCATAGAAAGCAACAGTGAAAGAAAATGATAATCATGACATGGCAATTATAGAGAGGTTTGGGGGAAATGAAAAACTTTGCTAGCACACAGTTTAAAAATATATTTTTTTGTAATTAAAAAAGTCATGCAAGCTGCATGATTTTAGCTCCAAAGAGCTAAATCAACATCCCAGAGACAATACTTTGAAACTTTAAAACAGTAAAAAAAGAATGATGAGTATGTTTCTCCCCCACCATGTGACTTTTCCCCCTAGTGATTCAGAATTTATAAATGTGATATTGACATACGAGGCTTCCAACAGATGGAATGAAACCTGTAGTCGAACAAAAGCTACACATTTGTGCTTTTGGCATGAAATGAGTGAGAGATTAAGCTAAGGCCTCCCCAGATTATTAAGAGGAAACAAAGTGGATCATATTAGTGTTGATGCACAACTGCATGCCATTTGCAGCAAATAAATATGGCAAATTAAAAAAAGAAATGCAAACATTTTTTCCAGGGGAAATAATTCCTTTCCTTTCATTTTTTTCCATTAAAAGATTATTTCTGAAAAACAATAACAAAAAGCTTATATTCTCTTTAAGAATCTCGATACCCCCTTTTAATGGCATGTCTTGAACTAAACACTCGGTGAATATTTGTTTCAAGAGAAAATTGCTATTAGGCATGTCTACTAGCGCTCCGAAAGGACACCAGCCCAGTAGAATACTGACGTCCTGAAATTCCCCAGGATTTTGTCAATCTCCAACAGAGGCCTGACTTTCCAAAACTTACTCAGATCTTCTCTGGTGGCAAAAGGCACAATGCAAGGGACATGCAAACTGTAGGAGGACTATTTAATCACTGACATGATATTATCACACTGACACATGAGAGACCTTTCCTCAATTAAAAAAAATCTTTGGAAAGAACTTTTAGCTGAAGTTCAGGTCAAAAGACATTTTCTTTGAAAATTTTGGATGAAATAACATATGAAGAAAAATGTAAAAATTCATTCACGAATGCTTGGTCTATGAAAATGCATAGTATATATTGTATATATTTTTTCAAAGGTTGCTTCCTTGGTTGCATTGATGTAACGCTCTCTAGGTCCAGGGGAAAGAAGGGAGGTCTCAAGGAACTGAATTCTTACATGTCAGGTTTTCCAAACCGTCATGCCTGCAACAAAATAATTTATCAAATTGTCCAACTTTACAGCCGTCCCAGACACGGGACGTTTTGCCTGAGTTTGTGCCTCCACACGGTGCTAATCTCACTCCCGGGGCTGCAAACATGATGGCCGAAGTGACAGCCGGGCTGCAAATCCGTCTGGCAGCTTCATTAGACATCTCTTGCCCGACTGATTAAACTGCAGTTAAGACCCGCTTTTATTTTTTCAAGCCTTTTGTTTAAATTAAAAGGTCATGTTTTCAAGCAAACGATCTGCTGCTTCCCTCACTCCAGCACCGTAATACAGTTACATTATTACTAGTGTTACCCCAAGTGGGGAGTCAGCTTCCCAGGCCCTGGCAGGGGCCCCTCCCCTAGGGGTAGCCAGGACATTAGAGAGGGAGGTGACTGTTTATTTGTAGTAGAACCTAGTGAGGGGGCTGGCTGGGGAACATTAGAGTTGTCCTTTAAAAATAAAATCTTAGTGGCTCTCAATGGGAAAATTGGGTTTGATATGTAGTTAAGACACACCTGCAATTTGGACATTCTTCCATTAAAATTTTAGCAGTGGCTTGAAAATTTGAGTTAAGTGGACACCACTTCCTAGACCTCCGTATCATAGTTCATTTTTTAAAACCAACCCCCAAAAATCAAATTTCTCAAAGCACGGATTATTGCATCAAGACAATATAATAGAAATGTACGCCACACCTTCAATAATACTTGCTAATTTTTTACTCTAATGGGTCTTGAGGTTCCTATTTTTATTAAACAGAGAGCAGGCTCCCACTCACCATCCCCTACTGCAACAGTCGAACCAAACAAGGAGATCTGGGAAACGTCGCTTACTCTTCCTTGTGGTTTTCCTGTCGGTGTACCTGCAAATACAGGAGGCCCATCTGAGAGGTAGACCGTTGCTGAGCTGTTCCAACTTCATGGGCGACCACTGAAGGCTGTTCCCCTTACATTTCGCAGCAGGCCCCAGTGGAGGAATCTAAAACCTAGAGACTTTGGATGTGGGAAACCTGTTTCAATACAAGAGAGGAAGACTCCATCTGCTTTGTATTGTTTATAATGCCTGCCTTTATTTCATAATGCGTCGACCTGCCTCAGTGTGAGACCCAGTTTCCTTGCCATGAAAGTGATGAAAGAAGCCAGGTCAGAAAGCACCTACACAGACGTTGCGAAATCTTATTTCCCAGGGCTGATACTTTTCAGTTGTTAGTTATAGAATTTTGTGCTTTTATCTGTTATTAAATTCTATGCAAAATCGATTTTTGAATTGGATTTTGTCTCTCTCTTTTTTTTTTTTTTTAACATTTTTAATTGTAATTAAATCCTCCAAAATCTTCAAAGGTTGAGTAGAAGTGGTGTTGGCAAACTCCTACTGAGCATCAGTAACTCAGTGTGAACAGGGTTAATGAACCATATTAAAGAAATGATACTGCTTTTTCATTTTCATTTTAAGGAGACTCAATTTAGGATAAATAAATTTGCATATGGCTACTGCAAATAAAATCCAAAAGTTAAAAAGAAAAAGACAGGCAAGTTTTTACATTCTTGGAATGTAGACAACTTCCAGTGCTTCGAGAATATTGCTAGGTTTTCTGTACCACAAAGCCCACATTCTTAAAACACACTCGTGTCAGCCTGCTCGTGGGAGACTTTGCTCTCATTGATATGTGGGGAGTTTACACGTGAGCAGTAATAAGAAAACGGAATCAAAAATTTTTTTAAATTTAAATTAGTGACTTTTTAAATTTCTCTAACTTTCTGATGTTGAAAATCAAAGCAAAACAAAACAAGAAAACTGGTATAGAAAAATAAAATTCAGGTAATGGTAAATCAAGTCATTATTTAACCTAAAAATGTAAAATAAATTTAAATAAAAGTAGTCTAAAAGAGATTAATAATGAAAATGTCTTTGAAAAGTTTTTTAAAATATAGAAAAAGTATATTTATCTACTTGCAAATTTTACTAAGTAAAAAAATTAGAGTTTGCCATTAAGCTTTTAAAAAATTTTTCCATAAAAAATAGGTTAACACCTACTCTACCTCAGGATCTTTTGAGATGTTACAAGAGTATGTCCCTATTATAAGTGAACTCCAAAGTAATTTTAAACCTTAAAATGAATTTACTAGTAAATTGCTTAAGGAAATATATATGCAACGGGCTTTGTACTTCATGTTAAGCAAATTTTAGATTGTTGTTATTTTTAGAGTAGTTCCCAGGTAAGTATCTGACTACTCAAGATCAAAGTAATTGATATTCTATCACTTCTATTCCTGGTCCTATACTTCAATAAAATAAAGCCAATTGTTATTTATGGAAAACAAACAAATAAAAGCAAATAATTTCAAAATGTTTTTAGCTATCAAAATCTTCTTAAAATTAAGTTAATGTCAACAAGTCTAGGTCTTAAAGTTTCCCCAAAATAACAGTACCAGATTGGCAGAGAGAAGATGAGATATTTTTGCAGTCTGTCTTATGATGTTTTTAACTCTGAAAATAAGAATCTATTTTTCCATTTGAAAATCTCTACCAAATGGGTCACCATCCAAATACTTTACACTTTTTTCCCTTCATTAATCATGTAAGCTCTAGATATGTTTTTTTTAAAGTCTATTAATATTGACCTATTTGGCGAAGCACTATCAGCTATATGCAAAAGCCATTTTAAACAGCCTCCTTAATAAGGTAGGAGATGAAAAATACCAGTACACAAGTGTGTGTGTTTAATTAGGAGGTATACTGTACTTAGGCACATTCTAATGAATAATAAATGATGTTTTATTTCCTGTGTCTGAGACACAAAGCCAAATAATCAAGAATCAAAGCAACTCAAAGTATTAGGTAACAATCAGTAAACTTGGGCAAGGTCCTTTTTCCCTCTCAAGTTTAATTGGCTCATTGTTCCCAGGAACTAGAAACCATGGTTGGTGGCAGTGCTGAAGTTTGCTTCTATAAAGGAAGATTAACATATTCTGGAACTTTACACTAATCCTTGTTTTGAGTTAATTCAAGAAGATTGGATTAGTAATTCTTACCTACCACCCACTAGAAGGGACCCCAGCTTCTTTTCTTTGACAACCAGTGGTATTGTGCACCTTCTGCGAATTATATCTCACTGAAAACATTCTCGGAAAAGAAAGTGTGTTAAAGGGAAAAAGAAATTTTTACATGTGGGGGCAAGGAGGGGTGGGGGGACATGAGAATCAAGGCCTCTCGAAGACATATCCAGTAGTTTCTCTATTATCAGCTTGGTGCACATTTGGTTAATGCGGGCAGTGGAGGGGGATTCTGAGAAGTTCACTCATTTCCTCGGCACTGAATTGGCTTTTCTCTGCTCCCCATCTGGGACGGACTGCTGCAGAAAGACAGGAGTAAAGGCTTTGCCCTCACAACCCTTCGAGAACCATCTCTACATCTTTTCTTTCCTTGTATTTCCTCAACTCTCAGATATGACCCGGGAAAAGTAACTGAATAATTCTCCAGGGGAGTGATCACTTAACCCTGCGCTAAGAAGATAATACTGTATACACCTATCGATGTGGAGTCTTAATAGAAAAAAATACCAACAAAGTCAAGTCCAGCCAAACCCTACAAGATGCCCTTGGCCTGTAGAGTCAGATCTCAGAGGCTAATACCAACAAAGTCAAGTCCAGCCAAACCCTACAAGAAAGATGCCCTTGGCCTGTAGAGTCAGATCTCAGAGGCCTGTTTGTTACCATGTGCCTGAAGAGTTTTGATTTTCCATTTATGGACCTTGAGAGCTTGTTTGGAGGTTCTAGCAGGGGAGCGCAGCTACTCGTATACCCTTGACCAAAGACCGGTCCTCTCCTGGGGGGGAGGGGGGGGCGGGGAAGGTCGTCCTCTTCGACCGAGACCGAGCCGAGCGGGCAGCTTCGGGAGGGACGCACATGGATTGGTGAGGGAGGAGGGGGACACCCGCCTAGCCAGCCAGATCAGCCGAATCAACCCTGGCGATCAATGGGGTGACAGATGTCGCAGCCAGATCGCCCTCACATCCTGATTTTCCATTTATGAATAAATACCTGAAAATCTCTTTTTTTCTGGGTTTCTTAAGCTATAATGGACATATAGCACTGTGTAAGTTTAAGGTGTAAGGCATAATAATTTGACTTACATATACTGTGAAATGATTACCAAAAATAAATTTAGTTAACATTTATCACGTCCTATAGATACAAAGAAAAGAAAAAGAATTTGTTTTCCTCCTTGTAATGAGTACTCTTAGATTTACTCTTAACAGCTTTCAAATATGTCACACAGCAGTGTTAAATATAGCCGTTGTGTTGTACATTACATCCCTATGACTTATAACCAGAAATTTGTATCTTTTGACCACCTTCGTCTTATTCTCTTTGTGTTCCCTCCTTTACCTTTCTAACACTCATAAACTGTGAACCACAGCTATTCATGATCTCTACTACCTTTCCATGTGTTAGAAAACCTTCGCTGTCCTTGTTTTTCTTTGGTTACTTTTGCTACAGAGCAGCCAGATGGACCTTCTGTTAATGACAGGACATAGTTAATTGATGTTTTTGACTATTAACATTTATTAGAAACAGATAAAATCATCTACTTTTATTCTATAAGTGAAACCCTGAATGTTAACTACTGCTTTACTCCAAATAATCAAAATAATGTAATTTGAAGCAGAATTGCCAATAAACTAATTTTAAGAATTAATCTGATTACTTGACCTTATTCCTTTAAGTGGATTCTAGCCAACTGAAAACATCTACTGTGTTTACTAATCATTAAATGTGAAATACTAATCTATGATTTTGAGGAATTTGAAAGGAGCCAAGGAGCAGATAATTAGCATCTACTCAGCACCAGGCACTAGGATTTCTGTACAATCCCCAGTGAATAGACATTAATTTCCCAGTTGCATAGGTGTAGAATCTGAGAAGTTAGACAATGTGCTCAGGGCCCTACAGCCAGTATAAGGATTTGAATCCAGGCCAGCTAAACTCTAATATTCACATTATTTTTCAGTACCAAGTGTCTTTATGTTTCAGGTAATATCTTCCTGAGAGCTACAAGTCAATAAGTTAAAAACACTGAACAGTCAATGGATTGACCTGGTTACACTTTTACCACCCAGCAGATGACACTGACTGAAGGAATGGGAGGATGAGAGGCGAACCTGAGAGAGGAGCTTTAAGCAACCGAGAAGGGCAGGCCTAGGTAGGACTCCAAAGCATTCTTGGCAGCCAGGATGCCTACGGTAATGAATACCTGGAAACATCATAAAGGCATCTCCATATGTGGAAGTGAGGGCTTCAAGAAAGAACATCACTTTACTTCTAAATTATGCTTCTTCCTTCACTAACCCAACCTTGGCCTAGAAACCAGCCGAGCTATCCTCCTGGCCTATAAAGGAAAATCACAAAGCAGTCAGAGTCCAAAACCCACACCCTCTGCCCCAATGCTGTTGGCCTCTTGCTAGAACCTCAATCCCATATTCGCTGGCTCTAAAATCTCAGTCCCATGACACCCATGCTCATCCTTCCTCCTCCAGCCCCTCTATGGTCCTCTATCAACACTGGCTTAACTCACCCCTTCAATTCTGGGGTCTCCTATTGGCTCCCCTGTATGGCCCTCTAGAGCTTCCCTTTGTTCCAGTCACACCACCTCTCCTGATCTCTCTTCCTGTGACCAGGGAGTCTGACCCCACCACAATCCAGTTCAGATGAGTGGGAACCCTGCCAAGAACAAGGCAAGAGTGGCTTTTAGTGTGAACTTGGCTTGGTTCTTCCTGCTGCTCCGCCCCAGCCATCTGTAAGAGAGGGTTGGGCCACAAGACTTCCACCACAGTTTCTGCTCCTGCTCCTTTCTGCTTCACCTTTCACTTCCTTAGGGAAGGAAAGTAAAGAGAAGAGGAGAAAAAAATGAGAGAGTGTAGAAATTAGTTAATTTTGCTAGAGTAGAAAGTAACTTTGAGACCAAGATGAAGAGCTTTGAAGGGAAGATGGGAGGGGAGGGGGGAAGAGTGGAGGAGGGAAAGGTGTACTGCAGAGTCCGAGTCCCCTGATAGAAGTGGCTCAGTGGTGCTTCTCTGGTCCCTCCTTCCCCCATCCCTGCATGCCCTGTGTGTGGCTCTGAAGTCCGTGTTACCTGACTCTAGGGTTCTGTTTTTTGTTTGTTTTGTTTTTTCCATGAGGAAAGACACCTCACAGGAGAGGAGGGGAGCAGCTCTACTTTAAAGCAGCATTGTCTGAACACCTCGGCTCTGCCCTGTCCCCACTAGTAACACCAAGGGATCAGGCAGCCCCAACTCACGGAAAGGAGGCCCCTCCCCCACCCCCCACCAGGATCTGGGATCTGGGTTTATTGGCCTGTGGGAGTCTCAGAGCTCTTTCCTGCTTCGTGTCCCCTCCCTCTGCTGGATGTAATGTGTGTGAGTCACATGAACTGTTCACACGTACACTCCATGACCAGGCAGCACAGTCATGCCTATGCATATATGTAAATGTGGCAGATGGATTACTACTCTAAACTGCTTATCTCTGCCCAATCCTCTGAGTGTTCTGCTCTTGAAGGATGCATGGCCACTCACCACTTGAAAAAATTAGAAGGCACATTGCTTTTATGCATGCTTGTTATTTGTTAGTATTGTCTTCTTGCTCATGATATTTTCTGCGATACTCAACATTCACTGAGACCCGTACTCTCTACTGTGTTAGGGACCTGGAGAAGATCTGAATCGTGTCCACACGAGGCTCACAGTTTCATAGATGACAGAAGTTTGACTAATGAGGAAATAAAGTTGAATGACAAAACATTATCCGAGTTAGAGCTCCATATATACTTGATATACTTGTTTCTGAGTATTTATAACTAGTGTCCCCTTCCAGTCTCAAACATGTCTGTTTAAGAGGATAAATTATATAGTTGGCCTGGCTGTTGGGTGAGTATACTCTCTCTCTCTCTCTCTCTCTCTCTCTTTCTCTCTCTCTCTGCCTCAAAGGGCCCGTGAAAGATAGTTGCCAGCAGTTCCCAAACACACACACACACACACACACACACGCACACACGCACACATGCACACATCTACATTCATATACAAAACAGAAAAGGAATACTAAAAATGCCTAATGATATATTACATATTATTTATTCTAAGACCCCCCTTCTGTTTTCCCTTCTTTCCTTCCTTTATTTTTCTTTAAAATTTTCAGCATTTGAACACCTCTAACATCAGAGAGTATCTTAAACATGCTGTCACCAGGTGGCAGTTGAGACACGGTTGTCCTTACCTGGACATGTGCGTCGAAACTTGCAGAATGGGTGCCTGTGGCTCAGGGGGAAAGTCCCAACACTGTAATGGAGCACTCTTTTCAGAAATACTGTGTCTCCAATACTCTTGATGGCACCAGGAACCCTGGGCAAAAAAGATGTGTAGTAACAACCGCAAGTCCAAAAGTGATTCAGGAGAACGGAGCACTGTGTAGAAAGAAGTTTTAGAAATACTATTAGTTTTGTTGATATCTTCTTTTCATTTATGCACAAGAGTAAACTATGCTAGAAATCAGTATCTAAATAAGTCAAAATGAGGTCTTGCAGTAAATATAAACTCAATAAACATAAAATTTCATAAGGATGCAACTTACAACTGAGTACAAATGAAATAGGTGATGTCTGCAAATCCACAACCATTTTCTATTCACTGGACCAGGATCTAGACAAGCTGAGCTGATAGAAGTCTTGTCCTATGGCATTCTAATACTGTGTCTGATCTGCATTAAAATTGTTTTAGTGCAGGTGTAACTCACATATAACAGTACGTTAGTTTCAGGTATGAAACACAATGATTTGACATTTGTATATATTACAAAGTTGTCACCACAATAATCCAGTCAACAACCAATATGCATTTTATATCCACACATGAGATCACGGGTCAGGAGAGAGCAGAGCTCCCGTGGGATGGTTCAGTGGAAGAGCGCAGGATTCTAACCCCAAGTCTCACCCCTGCCGGCAACCTTAGGGGACCTACCTCACCTCTCTGGGCCCAATTTCCTTATCTGTAATGGAAATTGCATAATCACTAAGGTATCTTCTGGTTACAAAATTTTAAAGCTAATAATGGCATATGTTATATAAACTTAGTGTTCTTGTCACTGAACTATATTACTTTGGCTGTCAAGCATGACAACTGTATCACAAAGAAAATTTAATAATTCATATTACCTATAAGACATTAAAAGAACAGCATGCTAGAGCAGCAACACCCATGGTTTTTCCTAAACCCATCAAAATAGCATAGAATATCAGGTTAAGCATTATTAAAAATTTTTCTTTTAACCTGCCCATGCTAAACACACCATGCTACCCAGAGTAAGTGCTAATGAGTTTAGCATTATTAGGTGACATCAGGAAACACTGATTCTTGAGGTTAAGTTATTTGTTCAGTAGATTGAGTCTGTCTGTGCAGAAAATGCGTCAATCAATTTCTCGATTTCGTCTCAAAGGAAAAGAAGAAGGAAGTGGTCACCAGGTAAGCCGGCCAGACCAAAAGCACCCCGCAGCTAAAAAGCAGAGTGCGAAGAAAAAACAGCTTGGTGTTCAGAATTACCTCAAGTTTCTGTTAGAGCACAATGCAGACTAAATATTCAAGTTTACAAAAAAGTCTACCAACTCAAGAAAAGGTGGAAACATGTGAGAGATCTACAGTAGCCTGACGACAATGACAGCGGTTCTAATGAGGCTGGGCGCTGGCTTCCGCATGGAATATCAAGGCAGCCATTCTCTACTTTGTCCTAGTTGTCCTATTCATTTCTTTTCAGCACATCTGCATAGCAACCCCAGGATGTTGGTGCCTGTGATTTCTGCAAAACATGTAAACAGTAAGAAACAGGAAAAGAAAAGGGAAAGCTTTACTGAGCTTTGGAAGTCTAGTATTTGCAAAATGTGCAACAGAGCCTACTTGGAAATTCCGTGTGTGTGTGTGTGTGTGTGTGTGTGTGTGTGTGTGTGTGTGTGTAAATGGAGGCAATTAAAAATAAGTTATCCAGGGTCACAAAGGGAGTTAGTGCCTAGAATTAGAATAAGTCTGATTCCTGAGCCATTGATTAAATGCAAAATTGAGCTCTGATTTTAACAATGACTGCATCGGGACTTTCACTAGAGCAAGACAATTCCAGGACAGACAAAAGGAACGTTTTCCTAGTGTGAATATGCAAGATAGTACAGTATGCCACAGAAGGAGAATATACAGCCTCTGCCTTTTCAAAGAAGAGGTGCCAGCAAATGTGTTCATTCTATACAAATGCTGTTGACCTCGCCCTCTTTCAGACATGGGAACATTTTATTCCTAACCTTCTTTCTGACTGCTTCTTTCTAGTTTCCTTCAGCAATTTATACTTCCTTATATTGTTCTGTCATTTTTCTGTGTCTCAAAATACCTTATCCATACTTTTTAAAATGTTGTGCTGCAAATGGAATGTAACACTCCAAGAGTGGCCTGCCTGATAGATAACTGAATAGTCTAGTTAACTCCCTTTTTTTTTTGCATCAAAGTATCAATGAAATCAGTGCCCCCTGTGGCTTTACACATTTTTTGGTAAACCTTTGCCTTATTTTGATGTCAATCCAAATATCTGAAGCACTCATGTATTATTATGTCACAATTTCCCTATCCCATACTTGATTTTTGGACCCAAGGGCAGGGTTTTACATTTTTTTCTTACTACATTTCTTTTTGTTAGACCTGGTCCATTGAGATATTTTTAGATTTCTGACTTTGTCATCCAGCAAATAGTTTTTCCAACCAGCATCAGACCATTTGCAAATGTAATAGCATACCCATTACATTATCATCCAAGTTATTGATAAAAATGATGCCAACAGAGAAGAGAGGCTGGTAACATGGAGTCTAAACCTCCCTTTAGGGAGACATTCATAAATTTCCCCTGTATTAGTCAGGGTTCAACCAGGAAAACAGAAACCAACCTGAATAGGAAAGACAGAGAGAATTTAATAGAGGGGAATTGTTTCACTAACAATGAAAGATTTGAGAAGTCAACTAAGGAACAATAAGGCAACCAAGAAGAGCAAAAGCAGGAAGTCATTGTCAATCATAGACTGAAGTACTCAGGGGGCAGAGTTAGGAGTAAAAAGAGGAGCCAGGGAGGAGAGGTAGCCACTGCCAGAGCTGCCATGCAAGGCACAGAGGAAAGTGGAGAAATATACTCCCCTTTCCTGCCATTGGCCTAACCCAGCTGGAAGCCAGCCTACACAGGAACTTGGGAACACAGCTGGCTTAGGTCAGTCTCTGCGATATATAGTAGAGGAACATTCTTGAATCTTAAAAATTTCTCCATCTTCCTCCAAATATGTATATTTGACCAAATATAGCAGGCTAATTTTTAAGTTGATAATTTTGTATGGCTCATGAATGATGTTATAAATATCCAAATGGCCCTTGGCCGTAAAAAGGTTCCCCACCTCTACTCTTGTTCATTCCTGTTAAATTCCAACTTGTTTGGGTTGGTCCACTGAGATATCTTTGAACACAGATTCTCCTTCTGTCTAACTCCCAGGACAGACCAGGTACACCCCAGTGCAGGGTCTTTGCACTTGTCGTTCCCTCTGCCCAGAAGGGCTTGGCCCAGGTGTCTATCTGAATGCCTCCCATACTCCTTT